ATTGACGCTGCAATAGAATCTGGTTCCATTCTAGCAAAAAGCATGTGTCAATAGGTCAAATCGCCCATGCTTTTGATTACAAATTGACGGTACATTGGCCTAATGTCATATTGTAAACCTGCCTTAATACATTATCACATGTAACTTGATAGTTGACATGAATTTAAATGAAATTCAAATGAAAATTTTAAATGAAAAGTTCCTGGTCTGTATTACTATATAAGTGAAACATTTCATATTGTTTTTAATTAACGGGCTGCATTACTAACTTGATTTATAACCGATAATGTATTGGTTTTTTATTAGCTTTTGTTATTGCTAGTAACAATACAATACACTAGTTTCCCTCTGATCCCATTATGTGACCTGGAATTACACATGTACATATACATGTATATTACCAATCTGCACTCTATGATACTTTTTGTGTTTACATGTAAATTTATTGTGTGAATTGAAATTGTTTCATCATTTCTTATCTTTATTTATAGCTCCTGCATTTTGTGAAGTTTGTGAAATTTTATTGCCTTTTTTGAAATTAGTAAATCGATGAAACCCTTTGAATGCTTAATGCTAATAATTATTGTACAGTGTAACTTGTCATTGTTGCAGCTACATAGCATACAGTACAGTACACAGTGTATATGAGCATAATACCAATTTGACAGAAGCCATAAGCATTGTCTATAACGAGAGAGTTTGAGTGCTCAAAATTTCATTATGACATACCATCACATATGGTGGGTTCCAAGGGCTATAAATGTTTCATGAAAACACATACATGTATACAAGTAGTACATGTTGTATATTACCTGCCATGTATAGATTATAATCGCAAGGGATGTGTTGATATGTACATGTGCACATATTTTAAGTAGGGATTTCATTTTTGAGCTACCGTTTAGCGGAAAAATTTCGTGGCCCAAAATTTTCGTGGATTTCGCGTTTTTTTCAAAACCCACGAAAATAAAATCCGCGAAAATCAATTTTATACTGTTTAAGATGGCCGAATTGTAGAAAACCACGAAAATTAAAGCCACGAAATTGATTTTTGGACGGATCCACGAAAATTTTGGGCCACGAAAATTTTCCGCTATACGGTATTTTTAAGATGTTACAAGTTGATTTAACAATTAATTAGTGAATTACATGTATTTGTCTGTAATTGATAATCCCAAACTAAAATGGAAATCCTACATAAGCTGCAAGATATTACCATAATTTAATTAGTATTTTTGCTAGCAGGTGGTGGCTTTTCTCATGGAAGGGGTCACAATAAGGTTCGGAAATAGTCTGTGTGTGCATAACTCACAGGTGGTACATGTAGACCTTTTTTATTTTTAGACCTTGTTTACATTAAAGCAATGCTTCATTGACTCTTGACTATAGAGTAACATGAAAGCTTTACTGTTTCCAATGAATTTTCTTGTTGTGTCAAAGTTCCAAAGTTGTTTCATACACCAGATGTTCTCATAAAGAATTTACTTTA